CCCCCCCGGGCCGGCCGGGGGGGGACCGGCGGGGCAGGCGCGGTTCGCAGGAGCCGCAGAGGCTCCCGGACCCTGGAGGATGCACGTTCTCGCCAGAGCTCCCTCACCTACCGTGGGGGCGTTTGTGGGTGTTTTAGAAACAGACCCCGACCCCGTGGAGGCTTTGGGGCAGGTGCTGGTGCTCCCCTCATCTCCAGGGAGGGCCGCGCTCCGAGGCCACCAGTGACCCCCAGTCCCCACCTTCCTGGCCCCAGTGTGCCGGACCAGACCCGTCCCCAACCCATGCCTGGGCGGCTTCTGGGCCAGCGGCCCCAACACTCCAAGAAACGGCTGGGCGAGGAAGGGGCCAGGCCCGGCTGCAGGCCCCAGGTCGCCGGACCCCCTGGCCGGAGCTTCCCCGTCTACACCTCGGCTCACTGTAGGGCAACACCCTGCCGGTTCCCAGCCCCAGCCCGGCTCGGAGCGTGCACTCTTCCTGTCCAGAGACCCCTCCAGGCCAGGGTGCATGCTTGGCTTAGGGGCCACCAGCGGTAGGTCCGGGGCTCCTGAGCCCCGGCGGCCTCTGTCCAGGGCTGAGCGTCCACAGATTCCTGAGGTCAGAGCGTGGGAGCTGACAGCCCTGTTCTGACGCAGGCTCGGCGGATGTTTGAGGGCGAGATGGCCAGCCTGGAGGCCCTCCGGAGCACCGGCCTGGTTCGCACTCCGCGGCCCATGAAGGTGATCGACCTGCCGGGAGGAGGGGCTGTCTTCGTGATGGAGCATCTGAAGATGAGGAGCTTGAACAGGTGTGCGTCTGAGAGACAGAGACAGACAGAGACAGGAGTCAGAGGTGAAAAGAGAGAGAAGACCGGGGAAGCCAGAGACACAGAGACAGAGGAGGGAGCAGAGGTGGAGGGAGAGTGGGCAGCAGCCTCCTGCTGGGCTGCCCACAGAGCGGCCCCTGCCAGCGGTGGCAGGTGTGCGGCGTGGCAGTGGCATGGCCGGGGCTGTTCGGAGATGAGAGGGCTAAGCCCTGGCTTGCCTGGAACCTCTAGAACACCGTCAGCAGCTCGGTGTGGGCAAAGTGAGGCTGGGCTGGTGTTCTGGTGCTGCCACCCACCAGGAGTCTTCCTAGCGACTAGAGCAGTAGGTGTTCATTGTACGAAGCGTGGAAAGCTCATATCTGTCAGGGCCAGCCTGGGGCATGGTGGCTCAGGCCTCTGGGGCCTGCGTGGCTGACTGCTGTTCCAGCCCTGGACCCGCTGGTTTGAAAACACGCGGACGCATGTGCCCAAGCACAGAACCCCGCCGGAGGGGGAGACAGAGAAAGGACAGCCGTGTGGCCGTCCCGTGGGGCGCTTGCTTGCTTGCTTCTCCCACTGAGGGCACATACCCTATGGCAAAATTAAAAAAAAAAAAGAAGACATCAAGTTCCCATAACCCTATCAGCAGGGAATGGCCACCTTATTTATTTATTTATTTTATTTATTTATTTGCCATAGAGCATGTGCACTTGCTGGAGAGGGACAGAGAGGCAGAGAGGGAGCGTGAGGAACCGCCCCCTGGGCCGGTGGCCTGTGCTATCCTGTCTCTTCTCCAGCGGGGGTTTGGCCATGCGCTCTCATGTGACTGGCGTGATTTTCAAACCTCCAGATCCAGGACACAAGCCGTGGTTGACCATGTGGGTGGGAGTCCAGCGGCCTGCTTTGGTAACTTTATTATTATTATTTTAATTTTTAAAATTTTAATAAATTATTTTTTATTTTTTAATTATTTACTTAATTTTATTTATTCATTTGTTTTTTCTTAATTTGACCAGAGTGAGACAGAGAGAGAGAAAGAGAAAGTGAGAAAGCAAGCCACCAGGTCCAGGACTCAAACCATGGTTGGCCATGTGGGAGTGCCCAGCGCCTTAGCCACTACACCACCTGCTGGTCCCAATAAATGAACTTTTTTAATCTTCAAATACAAGAAGACTTTTCCAGTGAAAACGTGATGATTATTTATCTGTTCCACTGTTCAGGCATCAAATGCGGTATGAACAGGCGTCCTGGGTGAAAGACTAGAGCCGGTGGTGGCGCGGGGACAACGCCTGGTTCTCTGGCGCTGCCCTGAGCAGGGAGTTCACGGCAGCGTGCTCACGGGGTATTCAGACTTGCTCTTAGCGCCTCGAGGACTGTCCGCCAAAGGTGTAACGTTGTGGGCATGAAGAAGTGTCCCAGTGCAAACTGGGCGGGACTGAGAAATCGGTGCTTCCTTCTCAGCTTGGGGTTCAATGATGGCCCCTTCCTGAGCTTCGGCAGTAAAGAATTCCAAAATGGTTCTGTTGCCGGACTCCCACGTGGCTGACCACGGTTTGAGTCCCGGACCTGGTAGCTTGAAAATCACGCTGGGTGCGTGCATGTGCGTGCCCAAAATCCCAAGAGGAGAAAGGAGGAGAAGGGACTGTGGCATGGCCATCCCCCCCGGGGGGGATTTCTCACTTTCTGTCTCTGTCTCTCCACTGACTGCATGCGCCCTATAGCAAAAATACCTCTCTAAAAACCCAGCTATTCTATTTACAATAAAATGAAATAAAGAGCAGTCTTCAGGAATCAGGTGCATGGGAAGTGCCTTTTCGTGTCTCCCACTCAGCAGGCGCTTTTCCCGGATGTCGCCGGCAGCCAGGGCCTGTGCCGGTCCACTGTTGACGCACCCCGCCTTGCCGTCTGTACTGGCGGTCAGCACGCTGCACTCCTCAACTTCATTCTCTGCAGAATCTGTCACGGACAGTTACACGTGGGGAAACCTGCAGCCCAGAGGTTCTATGACTCACGGCAGCAAGTTGGCAGGAGAATCCGGAACATTCTGCCCTGCGGCGAAGGTCCGCGCCTTGTTTTTCCAGCAGCGGCTGAGAGTGAAAGGTGCCCTCCACCATGAGCAGGGAGAGCCGAGGTGGGCGCCATGCAGGAGAGCAGCGCTGTCCTAGCTCTGTGTGGCCAGGGTGGAAAGTATTTCAGCCACGTGGGTAATCTGAGTGCATGAGGGTAACACTCCCTCCAGGAAAAAGGATTCCTAACAGTTTTGAAGCGTTTTCGCGTTCTCTTTTTCTAGGATTGAGTCTTACTGGTACAAGTCTTGCACCTATGGAGTCCGGATACTTCACATGGGGTGCAGCTGGCCAGCAGGGAGCAGGCGGGCTGCCCCCCCCCCCCCCCCCCCGGCCGCCTCTCAAGAGCACCGCGTGTGGCGGGGTGACAGCAGCCCAGGGCGCTCCTCGGGTGCGGCTTGCACTTTGGTGATTTGTAATGGGGCTGGCAGGTGGCATGGTGGCTGAGGCGCTGGACTCCCACATGGCCGACCGTCGTTTGAGTCTCGGACCCGGTGGCTTGCTTTCGTACTTTCCCTTTCTCTCTCTCGATTTCTCTTTGGTCAAATTAAATAATAATAACAACAAACAAAATTAAATAAAGACTTTTTAAAAAATTACATGTAACAGTGGATGGTTGGCAAGTGGCATGGTGGTTAAGGTGCTGAACTCCCACATGGCTGACTGCAGTTCGAGTCCTGAACCTGGTGGCTTGCTTTCTCACTGGGACCAGCAAGTGGTATAGTGGTTGAGGGGCTGGACTCCCACTGGCCAACCATGGTTTGAGCTCTTACTTGGCTGAAAATCACACCAGGCACGTGTGCATGCATGCCTAAAATCCCAAGAGGAGAATGGAGGAGAAGGGATTGGAGTGGGGTCATCCCCCCAGCGGGTGATTTCTCACTTTCCCTCTTTCTGTCTCTGTGGTGAGACCACGACCCTATAGCAAAAACCTTAAAAAAAAAAAAAAAGCTCATGTAACAATGGAATTAAGGTACAAATTTGGGCTTGCCTGGTTAAGACAGCTGAATCCCACATAGCTGACTACATGGTTCAAAGCCCGGACTTGGGGCAGCTTTAAAACATGCCTGAGGTGTATGTGCATGCCCCAGACCCCAAGGGGAAAGTGGAGGAGAAGGGACTGTGACATGGCCCTCCTGCCGGGGGTGATTTCTCACTGTCCCTCTCACGGTCTCTCTCTCTCTCTGTCTCTGTTGCTCTCCAGGGAATGAACATGCCTTATAGTAAATTTAAAAAATTAATAAAGTACAAGTTTATTTTGATGCAGAAATGTTTGAAATCATACATAGTAGATTTTCATAATACTATCTTCCCTGAACTTTAAAAAAAAGTTTTTGTTTCATCTCATTCGTGAAAGGTAATATTTTTTAGAATTACTTTATTTCATTTTATTTATCACCATAATTATTTTTTAATTTGACAGAGAGAGAGTGAGAAAGTGAGAGAGCAAGTCTGGAACTCGACCATGTCTCCCATGTGGGAGTCAGTGCCCTTAGCCACCACGCCACCTGCTGGCCCTTCCCTGAACTTAAAAAAAAAGGTTTATTTACGTCTTTCTTTCATGAAGGAGAGGCGGAGACAGGGGGACAGGATCCCGCAGGCCCTGATGGCGTGACCCATCCACAGCCCTGGTTGCAGGCCTGCAGGTGCCCGGTGTGCTCGGGTAGGTTTCCAGACTCGGACCCAGAACGCTTCCACCTGGGTCAGCCTCACAGAGCACACGTGTAACTGCCATGCGCTGTCCCCCGAGACACACGTTCTGAGGATCGTCTCAAATGATGTGATTATCATCCAGTCTTTTTTCAATATGTGATTTGTGTTTGTTTTTACAAGAAGTGGGAGCTGGGACCAGCAGTTAGCGTAATGGCTGTCACTGGACTCTCATGTAGTTGACTGTGGTTCGCGTCCCAGATCTGGTGGCTTAAACTCATGCCGGGCACGTGTGCGTGTGTGCCTAGGAGGAGAGTGGAGGAGAAGGGATTGCGGCATGGCCACCCCCCTGGGGGGTGATTTCTCGCTTTCTGTCTCTCTCTTTCTGACGAGCGCATGTACCCCACAAAACCGCTCTGAAAACCAGAAGTGGGAGCTGATTTTTCCATCGACATTCCCTTTTGGTGTTAGTCCCTTAACGCCCAGTGCTCTGAAGGCTCTTCCTGGGGCTCAGTTAACCAGTACTGCCTGGCGGTTCTACTCTCTCCTGGTTTTGGAAAGGGCCATTTCCAGGTGTTCATTCCTTAAACTTTTTACAGAAGGGACAGTAGGCTACCAGGTCCAGGACTTGAACTGCAGTTGGCCATGTGGGAGTCTGGTGCTTTAACTAGTGGTCATCTGCTGGTCCCTGGATAGTAGACTTTCTTCTTTCTTTCTTTCTTTTTTTTTTCCCCAAAGAGGATTTTGCTATAGGGCACATGCGCTCACCAGAAAGAGAGACAGAGAGACAGAAAGTGAGAAACCCTGGATAGTAATTTTAAGGTATTTAAAATATTTTCCCGAATGGAACATACTGGAGAGGTTTATTTTTATTTATTTATTTATTTAGTTAGTTAGTTAGTTTTTTGCTGTAGGGCACCTGTGCTTGCTGGAGAAAGATAGAGACAGTTAGAAGCAAAGTGAAAAAACACCCCTGGGGCAGATGGCCATGCCATAGTCCCTCCCCCTCCATTCTCCTCCTGGGATTTCGGGTAAACACATAGACATGCCTGGGGTGAGTTTCAAGCTGCCGGATCCAGGACTTGAACTGCAGTCAGCCATGTGAGAATCCAGCCCCTTAACCACCACACCACCTGCTAGTGTCTATTTCTTGTTATTTTAATTGGCTTCATTTCTATTCTCAGTCAGGCATCAAAACTTGGAGACCAGATGGCAGACCTGCACCTGTCTAACCAGAAGCTCAGGGAGAAGGTGAAGGCGGAGGAGAGCACAGTGGGTGCGTGCAGTGCTCGTGTGCCCCTGGCCGTCTGCCCGCGGTGGCCGCCTGCTGCTGAATTGCACATCATCCCTTTACACTAACTACACTGGGATTTGCTTATTTTCTTAAACCATTATTTTACTTAACATTTTCCCTCCCTCCCTTTCTTTCTTCTTTCTTTTCCTTCCTTCCTTCCTTCCTTCCTTCTTTCTCTCTTTCTTTCCCTCCCTCTCTCCCTCTCTTTCTTCTCTCTCTCTCCTCCCTCCTTCCCTTTCTTTCTTCCAATTTGACCAGAGAGGGACAGAGTGAGATAGAAAGAGGGAAAGTGAAAAGGAACCCATCGGTCTGGGACTTGAACCAGGCAGTCATGTGGGAGTCCAGTGCCCTTAGCCACCATGCCACCTGCTGGCCCGTATACTACATTGTTGTTGTGGTTATTTTCTTTTTCTTTTTGCCGGAGGATGCATGTGTGCACTGAAGACAGTGAGCGAGTGAGAGTGCGCACTCTGGGGGATGGTCACGATGCAGTCCCTTCTTCCCCCTCTCAGGACTCTGGACACACACACGCCTGGCATGTTTTCTTTCTTTCTTTCTTTCTTCTTTCTTTCTTTCTTCTTTCTTTCTTTCTTCTTTCTTTCTTTCTTCTTTCTTTCTTTCTTCTTTCTTTCTTTCTTCTTTCTTTCTTTCTTCTTTCTTTCTTTCTTCTTTCTTTCTTTCTTCTTTCTTTCTTTCTTCTTTCTTTCTTTCTTCTTTCTTTCTTTCTTCTTTCTTTCTTTCTTCTTTCTTTCTTTCTTCTTTCTTTCTTTCTTCTTTCTTTCTTTCTTCTTTCTTTCTTTCTTCTTTCTTTCTTTCTTCTTTCTTTCTTTCTTCTTTCTTTCTTTCTTCTTTCTTTCTTTCTTCTTTCTTTCTTTCTTCTTTCTTTCTTTCTTCTTTCTTTCTTTCTTCTTTCTTTCTTTCTTCTTTCTTTCTTTCTTCTTTCTTTCTTTCTTCCTTTCTTTGGCAAGGATTTTGCTATAGGGCGCGTGTGCTCACTAGAAACACAGACAGACAGAGACAGAAAGCGAGAAATCACCCCCAGGGAGGATGGCCACGCCACAATCCCTTCTCCTCCATTCTCCTCTCGGGATCTTGGGCACGCACGCACATGCACCCGGTGTGAGTTTAAGCCACTGGATCCGGGACTTGAACCGCGGTTGACTACATGAGAGTCCAGCGACATAGCCATTACACCAACTCCTGGTCCCCCTGGTATGTTTCTTAAGCCACTGGGTCCAGGACTTTAACTACACAATCGACCATGTGAGATCCAGCTGCCGTAAGCACCACACCAGGGGGGCACTCTGCACTGCATTATTTAGATGAGATTGTTCATGAAGAATGTCAGTGGAGCTCATGTTAGTAGAACTGGCTTATGGGCCTTTTATACCCAGTTTGGATGCTCAGTGTGCCTGAGGCAGCAGTGTCCTGGAGAGTCCCCGTGTCCACTAAGGTAGTAGCGGCCACCCTCAGCTCACCCCTACCCGGCACATGCGCCCAGACCTGTGCTGGTGCACTGCTGAGGGCTGGCATTTCAGTGAAGGGTGGCAGACCTTTCAGGCCAAGGATCTCTGTCCACAGGCCAGGCCGGGAGCGCTGAGCCCCAGTACGTGACCCAGTTCGGCTTCCACACGGAGACCTGCTGTGGCTTCATCCCGCAGGTGAGTGCCTGGTACGGTCATCCCTTCTTAGATGGACCCATTTCTGATGCCACCAGCCCCTTGTATGTGACAAGACCGTGAGCCCCTCAGACACCTGCAAGACAGACCACAGAAGTTTCTGAGAGCGGATTGCACACTGTGGCCCCTGAGAGGGGAGGGCGGATGTGGACACTCACTGACCGGGCTTCCGGGTGAACGGACACAGTGGGGTGGGTGTGCAGCGCCAACATGGAACAGCCAGTGCAAGGTGGCATTGCAGGGGTGGCCTGAGGGCGGAGGTGGCCAGAAACGAGGCCCTGGTCACTCACTCCTCTCCTGGGGCCTCTAAAAAGTGGTTAGTTTTGGAGACAGTTGAGATACGCACACTCCGTAACCCACGGTCTCAGCGTGCAGTCCAGTGCTTCGCGTGTCTGCGGTGTGGGACAGCCACCGCCACACTCTCGCCCCAGAGCACGCGTCGCCCACAGCAGCAGCGTCAGCACCCGGCCCATCTCCCCCTTCCCCGCTGGCTGCCGGCCGGTTTGCCTTTTGTCCCTCTGTGCTTGCCTATCCTGGACTTGGTGTAAACGGGACTGTAGCGTGTGTCTTATTTTTTCTTTTGCTAGAAGACACGTGTGCTCCCTAGAGAGTGACACAGAGACAGAGAGAACGTGAGAGAACACTCCCCAGGGGGAATGGCCACGCCACAATCCCGTCTCTTCTGAGTCCTCTGCTGCTCCCGCTCGGGCCCACCCCACACCTGCGCTGCTAGGGCACTCGCTGACCACAGCCGGCCTTTGTCAGGAACACGGTGCCCATTATGTTTAAAGTCGTTGCTTCCTGGAGGGCAATATTTCAAAAATCTGCCTCCTCCTTGAAGCCTACCCTGACTAGTTGTTAGAATTTGCCAGTGAAGCCATCTGGGTCTCAAATTTTCTGTGTGGGAAGGATTTTAACTACAAATTCAATTTCTTTAGCAGGTACAGGGTCTTGAGGTTGCCTGTTTCTCTATGACCGATCCGTGGTAGTGTCTGTTTGAGGTATTATTGAATCTCTCGACATGAGGCTTTATAAACATTTCCTTGGAGCTGGCAGGTGGCCTGGTGGTTAAAGGTGCTGGACTCCCACATGGCCAACCGTGGTTCAAGTCCAGGACCTGGCGGCTTGCTTTCTCACTTTTCCCCTCTCTCTCTCTCTCTCCGATCAAACTGGAAAATAATAATAATAACAAATAAGGTTAACGATCAAACTGGAAAATAATAATAATAACAATTAAGGTTGAATAGAAATAATTAAAATTAACTCATTTATTTTAATTTGTCTAGAGAGGGAAATAGAGAGCTAGAAAGCAAGCTGCTAGGTCTGGGACTCGAACCAGGCTACCTGCCAGCCCTGTACATTTGCCTCTTGTTTCTTTTTTCTATTTCATTGCTTTGTGATTCATTTTTTTCTGCTTACATTATTAGTTCAATGTGCTTTGTTGAGGTATGTGAGGTAGAGGCTGAAACTGTTGAAATCTTTTTCTAATATTTTTAGTTAGCTATCAGGCGTCTGTGTTCGCCAGAGGGGGAAGGACAGTGAAAACTCACCACCAATGGTGGATGGCCGCACTGCGGTTCATTCTCCTCCGTTCTCCTCTCAGGGTTTTGGACACACATGCCTGGTGTGTTTTTCAAGCTGCAGGGTCCAGGACCTGAACTGCACAGTCAGCCATGTGGGGTCCAGCACCTTAACCACTACACCCTCAGCTGGCCCTGTCAGATGCATATATTTAAGTTTATTTTATCCGTGAGAGCACACGGACGTGGACAGAGCGAGGGAGAGAGGGAGAGGGACACGGACACGGGGGGGTGAGGGAGAGAGGGACACGGACGTGGACAGAGCGAGGGAGAGAGGGACACGGACACGGGGGGGGGAGGGAGAGAGGGACACGGACGTGGACAGAGCGAGGGAGAGAGGGACACGGACACGGGGGGGGGAGGGAGAGAGGGACACGGACGTGGACAGAGCGAGGGAGAGAGGGACACGGACACGGGGGGGGGAGGGAGAGAGGGACACGGACGTGGACAGAGCGAGGGAGAGAGGGACACGGACACGGGGGGGGGAGGGAGAGAGGGACACGGACGTGGACAGAGCGAGGGAGAGAGGGACACGGACACGGGGGGGGGAGGGAGAGAGGGACACGGACGTGGACAGAGCGAGGGAGAGAGGGACACGGACACGGGGGGGGGAGGGAGAGAGGGACACGGACGTGGACAGAGCGAGGGAGAGAGGGACACGGACACGGGGGGGGGAGGGAGAGAGGGACACGGACGTGGACAGAGCGAGGGAGAGAGGGACACGGACACGGGGGGGGGAGAGGGAGAGAGGGACACGGACGCCCTCGCAGCTCCCTGGACCATAGGTGGCCATGGCCCCCGCGCTGCGGTTCAGTGTTGACTCCTGTTTGCCCGAGGCTGGGCCTGCTTGTCGGACGGACAGAGCCCCTGCCCGGTTTTGACTAGAGCTAGCGTGCACCCGTTCCGGTCCTTCCAGCGGACATGGGGGGGTGAGGGAGAGAGGGACACCGACATGGGGGGGTGAGGGAGAGAGGGACACGAACGTGGACAGAGCGAGGGAGAGAGGGACATGGACGCGGGCAGAGCGAGGGAGGGAGGGACGCGGAGACGGGGGG